AAATGGAAAAAATAAAAATCTTATAAATCACCCAATTCTTGTCTGTTAATTTCGTGAAATAAACATGCCAGTGGAGGATAGATGAGCACATGCAATTTCTCCTTAGCTAAAATGTGGTCATTTGGTAAAAGGCAATAAAAAACCACAAATTTAGCCACTAATTTTTTGACTTCTTGATACAGATTCTTTGCAATGTTTATTTAAACATTAAGCTACGAGTAGCCATTCCCCAAGGAAGGACTCAAAAGCTACCATTAAGACGTATGGGTTGATTAAGTAAAAAAAAAGTTTCAAAGTGTTGAGAAGCATATAGGCTTTATGTATGCAACGATTTGCTTGAGACAAGGTTAAAGATGTGCAAACTGGCCTTTGCTTGCAGCGAATGGGCGGAAAGCACGGACATTTCATTCATAAGGTAATTGACCTGTGTGACATGACGCAGCTGATAACGCATGTGCATGCAAGCTGGTAGTTTGCTTGATCTGCACCAGAGAGTAATATTCTTATCCGCGCTTTCATTCTGGAACAAAAACAACTTAGTTAAGGAAAATTATATTTGCATTTAAGGAAAAACGAAATGCAGTCAATTAATTTATTATGTACATTAAGTAGCCCCACACAGTGATTGGATATCTTTTACACAAATAGAAAAAATGCAACCTATGCTGCGAAGTCAGTAGCAGAGTGTACAGTGGACTGCAAAATTTGTGCAAAACGACCAGCTAATTATTACTATGATACTACTAAGACGGTAGCAGTAGCAACAAAGAGAAATCCAGCAGCATTCTTGAAAAATGACCCAATAAGCTGTTGTTGTGAAAACATGCTTTGGTTGTATGCTGCAAAATTGTTTATTTTTAATTTCCGCTGGAGAAGATTCAGTATTTTGAAAAGCACTGCTAACTAAGCAGTGGTGAAATTTCTAGCAACGCTAGAATCCACCCATTTGTTCATAGAAGATTATGCTGTATAGTGACAACTAAAGCGCGGCCATGTAAGCCAATACGTTATTAGGAGTGTAATAAAGTAAAACTTTAATGGACGGTCCTAGAATATGGTAAGCGTATAAACGGATTTTCATTTGATAGCAAGCAATACAGGTACACATGTAGTTGCAGATGATGCTTAGGAAGTACTTATCTGACTTTCAACAAGCGCAAGGATAATGTTTAAAAGCCCTCTGTTACCTCAAGTACCAGTGTCACACCTGGAATTTACATTGTTCCCGCCTCGGAAAGGTAGAACAAAGCAGGAAACTCCGCACTACCATTGAATAATGGGAAGTATGCACCCAAAAACCGATTATGAATATCGTTGAAGAATTAGTGAACTCACTTTTATGAAGCGTAGAAATGTGTGCGTTTAGACCTGCTCGACGGGAGAAGGCTTTACTACACATCTGGTAAGTGAACGACTCCCTTCCTAAAAGTCTTGCAAAAGTAATAAAAAGCAAACTGCAGCTAAGTATTAAGACATAAGCATTTAAATGTAGTTTAAAATAAGTACATAAACACCACTGGACTCACTCTCATGAACTTCAGATATGTGTGTTTAAATTACATCGCTGCGTGAAGCAGTTACCGCAAATCTCGCACGTGAATCGTCCCTCCTCTAAAGGCAATGTAAAAGTGGTAAAAAGCAAAATGCATTTGCAAATCAGAAATGTGTATTTAAGTGGTGATCAAGGCAATCATACTAAAATTAATAAACCTACTTGCATGAACCACGGAAATGTGTGCGTTTAAACGCGTTCGACGGGTGAAGGCTTTACCACACTTCTGGCAAGTAAATGGCTTCCTTCCCAAAAGCAGTGTAAAGCAATACAAGGCAAAGTGCAACTAAACAATAAGTGAT